AACTAATGATTGTTTGGTAAACCTACAAGAAGTTGCAATGTTTCCTATGGTAAAGACGTAACCTGTTTGAGAACGTGTCTTGTGCATGTCAAATAAATAACATGTGTGAGCATAACCAATAAGGCAAGAATCAACCCGATGACCGAGGAGGGCGGCGACTTCTCTCGAGGATTCATAAGGAAAGAACAAACCCAAATATGTCATACCCTTGAGGTAGCAGAAGATGTCTTTAAAACCATTTCAGTGTTTGCATGTAGGCACATTACTATATCTTGCCAAAAGATTCACAGCGAAGAAGGTGTCGAGTCTAGTGCATTGAGTCAAGTACAATAAAGCATCAATTGCACTTAAGTATGGAACTTCGGGCTCCAAAATCTCTTCCTCATCCTCCTTAGGACGTAAAGGATCTCGTTTAGCATCTAGAGTACAAACGACCATAAGAGTACTTAAAGGCTTCGCTTTATCCTCATTAAAACGTCGCAACCCCTTCTGGGTGTAGCTTGTTTGATGTGATAGGATTTCATCCGAAGAGTGCTCAATCTGAGTTTTCTCAAGATCTTTCATCTCGAATTCTGATTTCAACTGAGCGGCAATTTTCTCAAGCTCTTCCGAAGTCCCAATGAGATTCATGTCGTCGACATAAACTGCAACGATTGGAAATTCGGAGTGTGACTTCTTAATAAACACGCATGGATAAGTATCGATTAATGCACTTGTTTATTATTAGTGACACATCATTAGTTTAAAAAATTTGATCTCTATAGCATTACCCTTCAATATTTATAACTCTTCTTTTCATTTGTTACTTTTAAAAAGTTTTGGATTTTGTAGTTGGGTTTGCATTAGGTTTTGTTTTAATGACATCTCAAGTGTAAACTTGAAGGCTCTCTTCATCGCTTAAAAAAAGCCTCGTTCAAGATTGTCAAAGAGTTTCACAAACTCATCATTCTTGTCTTCACATTCTTTCAATTTGGGTGGGTTTCAGATCGTTCGTATGAAAAGACAATTTGAGGTTTTAGGTTTAATCAAATTGGGGGCTTTAGGTCAAGAGATGATCATCTATTTCTGATCAACGGATGGATGGAAATGTCTAACTGATCATCGTTGGCTAGTTTGCACTATAAGAACATGGTAATAAAACTCAATATCTAATCATTAAAAGTGAATTCAGCAATTAGTTACTCTAGTGCCACCAAATATTTCTTGGTGGTTTCGAGCAAGAAATGGGAAAATGTCATCCGAACCATTCGAGAAACATCATCTTGTTTAGTGCTTTCACTGTATTATTTTTTCCCGCAATACAATAGAAGAAAATATTAGATTGTCTCACATTTAATTCAAGGGGTGTGTTTAGAAATCAAAGTTTTATTTAAAAAAAAAAAACACATCTACAGCCTACATAGTCATTTTATATTATAGCAGATAAGTCATTTACGTTAAAAAATTTAAATGAGGTGTAGTCAACAATTTGTAGGGTGTCAATAAAACAACCCTTGCATAATTCCGGGCAGTTTGCATGTTAAAGGGCACGAAACTTGGAGTAGGCAAGATATGAGTGTGTAACAAATGTAAGCTAAATATGCGTCTTTCTTCTGCCATCTACCCATCACGCAATGCTCATGTCCAACTGATTGTGGGGGGGGATGTATACGCCTTTGCTCCAGAGCAAAAATAGCAGTTTTTTGACCGTTGGCTCACTCTATATAATGGCGCCAAAGTTTAATCATGGCAGAAACTCTAAAATCATGGTTTTCCAGCTTATGTTGGTTGCTGTCGTGGCTTTTCTGTTGGGGTTTGTTTCCTCGTACAGTTTCAGACGGAAGAAAAAGGACAGAGCTTCAGTAAGGGATCGGAATGTGAATGGTTGGAGGAGCTCTGAAAATGGAATGTGTCTGCAGAAAGACATAGGTGCAATGGCACAGAGGAGCCCAAAAATATTTTACCCTCCCATGTATTGCATATGAGTATAAATTTTCTAGCTATATATATTATATTAATTTCCCACTTTTATCTAGCAATATAGAAGCTTGTGTTAAAATTAAAGTGTTTTTCCTAGAATGACTTCCCACATACCCAACAACTTATATTAATTCCTTAATTGTGGCTGTCTTGGGAACCCACATGTTTTCATGGTGCAGAGGCACTCCTATATGTTTTGGTTTTCTTTCCAGACAATAGCTTTCAATTGCTGCTTATCCTTTTGAGTTTAGTTTTTCATCTTTCCTTTTGGTTGTATTGTTCATGCTCTTGGTGAGAGTGTTGTAACTTGTAAGCTTATTTCCTTGTTAGTGAAAGTTGATTCATCTTCGTTGAGTTCCATTCTTTCTCTTTACTGTTGGTTGTAAGTCTTGGGCTAGTGTGGAGTCTACACTAACTGAGAAGCAATACTCTGGAGTTTGGAATATTGTCTTTCTCTACAGCTTGTGTATTGCTTAATTTGTACCATTTTTCTTTAGCAATAAAACACTAACTTGTATATTACTTTTTTCCACAAATACACAACATCATGATTTAATGCTCTATATTTTATGGACGAACCCTAAATCATGCTTTTATGGCAATTAAAGATTATTCATTTAGTAAGAGTGAGATGTTGATTCCAATTAAGTTTAAATATCGATTGTTGAGTCCTGTATGAATATATTGTCCTTTTTTTTTTTTAATTAAGGAAGGCTTTTTCATTGAATTCGCATAGGACCCCTAAAATGTTAGAGACGACCCTAAATCCAAGTAGTCCAAGTGTTTTCTTAGAATCTCCTTTCAAGTCTTCCCAGGTCTTCCTCTATCCCTTTAGCTCTAGCTTTGTCTCATAATTATATCTCCTAACCGAAGCGTCTATAAATCTTGTTTCACATGTCTGTTTCCACCTAAGAAAGTAAGATGCTGCAAAACCCGACTCTTGTTCCAAATTTTTTTTTCGCAACACACATGATGATCATTCGAGTCCTAATTAACGAGTCCCACAATACTATGATTCCAACCGAATCAAAACAACATTACTTTGACAACAAGAAAAATTAAATAAAAAACAACATTATGATCTTACGCAGAGAGAGTAAAAAAAAATTAGGTTGTAAATTAGTAATATCTTGTGACTAGTTTTCACAATTAACCATCATTTCATTTCAAAATTTATAAATAAACTAGCATCTTGCCACATGCTTGTGCATGTGACAATTTGCTCTTTTATATTTTTCTTTTACTTGTGTTTTTATTTTTTTATTTCTGTTTTAAAAATTAAAGAAATAAAGGGGGGAAAAAACTCTCCACCACATGAGATTTTTTTTTTTCTTTTAACAAACGATACGATCTACACTAGGGGTGGAAGAGTGGGTTAAGTCTCATAATATACTAGTAATAATGTAATTTAAATTCGCTTTGACGAGAGTTTGTTTGTTTGGATTTTTTTTTTTTTTAAATTAAATTGATTTTGAAATCATAGTTAAGGAAGGGTAGTTTGGGAATTTTGAATGTTTCCCATTTTATTGTCTTCTGGCTTTATATATGTATAGATAGATGAACAGCCTTATATGTATTTATTATTATAATTTTTTTTTTTTTTTTGGAAAGCTATTTATTATTATAATTTTGCAGGAAGCTTTAAGAATCATTCTCCCCATAATCAACACTGAAGGAGTAAGACAAATGTTCTTCCCTGCACGAAGATTTCTTCCGTTATAAACAAGATACTCAGAAAACCGAAAATAAAGAATGGCGTAGGCTCGTAGCACACTTTCTCAACCTTTTAAGATAAGCTCGTTTGTATAATTACAGATTCTTCCATGTAACAATTTCAAATCCTGGATTCTTCCATGTAACTATTGCTACATGCTCTCTTCAGCTCATGCAGTATACTCACTTTGTATTATATAATTGCAAGGACTGCTAGGTCAGTTACTAACGTGGGTGATTCTTGGCCGTAGATGCAAGCGAGTCTTGCATGCATCAATAGTTATGAATCAGTCAATATTTTATCACTTACACGCCTTCATCGTATCATTGTCCAATTGCAATTATATTCAAATAAAATAAATAAATTTCATACTGACTTGATCCATAATCCCATACTTTTGACAAAGAATTATTCTAACAGTCATGATTATATGCTATACTTAGTTTACAGGAGGATTAGGGAAGTTTGTTTTTTTTCATCTTTCGTCTTTTTATGTTTTAGTTTTACATTTCCAGTTGTCACCCCCTGTTTGGCACCCATGGTTTTTAAAACCTAGAGAAAATTTTGTTTTTTTTGACATTTGCATGGCAGAATATTAATATTTTGTACTATGTATAATAATATATGATCCACTTCCACACTTACCAACCCCTCTCTGACTAAATCAAGTCTTACTTGGACAGCCACTCCAATGCACTTACTCGCTGACCATGTAAATTTTCTGGTTCTGTTATAGGATCACTAATGGTTCCAAAATGTAAGAGAAAAGGGTTATAATCAGCCTCGCGTGAATATGTTAATGATATACATTTGTAATGAGTTAGAGATTGAGTTGTGGCTAGCATCACTGTAGCGCGTAATTTTGTTGTCTCGTAACATATAAATATCATAACAGTTGCGAAATAAAAATTATATTTGTGAAGTAAATTACATTATTGTTCAAGAACCTCCAAACATTTTTTTAGTTTCGGTTACATTGTTATTTCCATTCAAAACTATATTCTAATTTACGAAAAAGGAACTCAAACTCATATGGAAGAGGAGTGGTATATTGTCTTAGCCGACTGGCCTTAACTCCCATTTGCCAAAACAGTACCTATATTTTAGTTGCAAATGATTCCACTAAATCTTGGGGGGGGGGGGGGGGGGGGAAGAAATGAAATTTACTAAATTACGCAGTCTTGTACACAATGACTTGCTTTCAGGTCTTCCAATTTGGCCTGGTAAATAATTTACAGTGGTAGGCGCATGACTTGTCCACGTTTCTAACCCAAAACCAAAAAATAGTTTTGTAGAAAAAGTTGGCTCACTATATATAGGCGCCAACTTAAGTCTGAGAACCAACTCAAACACTTGAAAAGAAGAGCTCCACCATAATCTTCTCTAACCGAATTCACGATCCTTGAAGATGGTTTACCTGAATATAGTGTGTGCTGTTATAGCCTCGCTGCTCGGGTTTGTTTTCTTGTGCAGTCTAAGACGACAGAAGAAGGCCAGAGCTCATCAAAATGGGAATTGTTTGAAGAGCTGTGAAAATGGAACGTGCGACGATGCAAAGATGGTTGAAAGTGCAGACATTATCGTTGTTGGTGCTGGGGTTGTTGGTTCGGCGCTCGCTTACACTCTTGGAAAGGTGACATTCTCTCACTCTCGAAGGATTCTATGCCTCTTTCTATATTTGTGCGATATATAACTTGACGAGGTTTAAGCTTTTCGAAATTTAATGGTTTATCACTCTTTATTTATCTGTTCATTAAAATATGTAATTGTTTCCTTTTATCTGAGATTATATTTCTGCTTCGGTGGGAAGAAAACTTAAAGATAACGCCTTGAGATCTGTTTGGGGTCTCCAAGATCATCTGCGTTTTGGATCATTAGGAAAATCTTTTCATATATTTTTGTTAGAATGTATATAGTAACATCAGGATCATAATATTTACAATTTGCACAAATCTAAGTTATCATGTCTTGTCTTCTTACTATTGCTATGTTTTGTTTACAATGTCTGCATACCACAGGATGGGCGCCGAGTGCATGTGATTGAAAGGGACTTGAGTGAGCCAGATAGAATCGTCGGCGAGCTGCTGCAACCAGGGGGATATCTCAGATTAGTTGAGTTAGGCCTTGAGGGTAAGCAAAGAAGTATAAACCTGAGGACTTGTATGAATGTTCCATAACTGTCCTCCTCATTTATTTCCACCCTGAGTTAGACAACTACATATGATAATTGTTAATATTTCTGTTTGGTTGAAGATTGTGTAAATGAGATTGATGCTCAACGGGTTTTCGGATATGCTCTTTACAAGGATGGAAAAAGTACCAAGCTGCCATATCCTTTGGAAAACTTCCATCCTGATGTGGCTGGGAGAAGCTTTCACCACGGGCGTTTCATTCAAAGGATGCGGGAAAAAGCTTCATCTCTTCCCAAGTACTCTTCCTTTCCCTTCAAATATATTTCATAGTATTCTTTTTTCAGTAGGCTCGCCATGTGTTGTATAATTCAAAGTTTTAGAGGTCTGGAAAACACAAAGTTTTCCCTCTGCTTCAGTCATCTATTTCGAGTATCTGTTATAATTTGACGTTCGGTATGTTTTTGCTATACAAAGATAGATCCTTTGATTACATAATATATTCTCTTTGCTTGAAAGTTTGTCATGCTATGTTGTCAGACTGTCAAAACTTAACCATGTATTTAACAAGAATCTATACGATATCAGATAATACATGTTATGTGAGATTCATTATGAAGGAGATTTGCATACTCTGCTGGAGTCTCATTTGTGTGTCATTTCTTAAATTTCAACATCAGTGTAAGATTGGAACAAGGAACGGTGACATCTCTACTGGAAGAAAAAGGTACTGTCAAGGGGGTGCAGTATAAATCCAAAGGTAGTGATCTAGAACTCAATGCACACGCGCCTCTCACAATAGTATGCGATGGATGCTATTCAAACCTACGGCACTCTCTCTGCAATCCTAAGGTGAAGATAAACTGCAAATCTTGTAAAATAAACAAAAACAAGAAAGGATAATTGATTGAAATATACATGATTACTAGAATATAAAATCATGTTTTATTTTTCTTTTTGTAGGTCGATATACCTTCTTGTTTTGTTGGTTTGGTTCTGGAGAATTGCCAGCTTCCATATGCAAATCACGGGCATGTAATATTGGCAGATCCTTCGCCGATATTGTTTTATCCTATAAGCAGCACCGAGATTCGTTGCCTTGTTGATGTACCCGGCCAAAAAGTACCTTCTATTTCTGGTGGTGAAATGTCTCACTACTTGAAAACAAAAGTGGCACCCCAAGTATGTCTATTGTGCTTCAAATAGTTTGTTTTGGAATAAAACTATTTCGAACAAATAAACCGATCACTTTGTTATTTACCTCTCTAAATAACAACCATCTCTGTTTTACTTTACGTATTTGAATCTTTGGCCTAATCAAGGGGTTTGCAAATTCTTTATTGCAGGTTCCCCCTGAGCTGTACGCTGCTTTTATGGCTGCCGCGGATAAAGGAAACATAAAATCAATGCCAAACAGGAGCATGCCTGCTGCTCCTCGTCCCACTCCTGGTGTCCTTCTGATGGGGGACGCTGTCAACATGAGGCATCCTCTAACTGGAGGAGGCATGACTGTGGCTCTTTCAGACATTGTTGTTCTTAGAAATCTTCTAAGACCTCTGCACAATCTGAATGATGCACCTGCCCTTTGTAAATACCTCGAATCCTTCTATACGCTGCGCAAGGTAAGCAGCCTAAGTTATTACACACATATTCAATACTTTTACAATAGTAAAGTTCTTATTTCAAATCGATTTTAATGGTAAATTAAAAAAAATTCTAATGCTTGGTTTTGGTGCAGCCTGTGGCCTCAACCATAAACACATTGGCAGGTGCACTATACAGGGTATTTTGTGCATCACCTGATCCGGCAAGGATGGAAATGCGCCAAGCATGTTTCGATTACTTGAGCCTTGGAGGCGTGTTCTCGAATGGACCTCTAGCACTTCTTTCCGGCCTAAACCCGCAACCATTGAGCTTGGTTCTCCACTTTTTTGCCGTGGCTGTCTACGCCATTGGGCGCTTGCTACTTCCATTCCCTTGCCCAAAACGCATGTGGATTGGAGCCAGATTGGTTTTGGTGTGTATCTATCTCCATTTGTTGAGATATTCAGTTGCATCTGGTGTGATCCTCTTCTCAGTTGTTTTGATTTTTCCACCTTTTGTTTTTTGTAGGGTGCTTCAGGAATCATATTCCCCATAATCAACTCTGAAGGAGTGAGGCAAATGTTCTTTCCTGTGACAGTGGCATCATACTACAGAACTCCTCCTATTAATTAATTAACATGATGAAAATTGAAAAAAGATGTGTTTAGCTTTAGCAGATGTTCTTCCGAAAAAATTAAATAAAATCTTAATTCAATTCCTTTGTGTCTTTTTTTTTTTTCAATTCGATGATGATGCACCATTAGGTCATGGCAACAGATGATGCATCGGTAAGTCAACAAACATCATGCTCATAATCTTGTTTGGGCTTGAAATACTAGACTTGGGCCGAAGGTGGGTAGTTTGTATTAAGATTTAATTATTGGCTCACTGGTAACCTTTGAAGCCGAATAATATCTAGATATCCAGCCCAAAATGAAATTTGGCCGAGTACTAATAGAAGTGATTCTGCCGAGACCTAATTGCAGATTGGTTTTGCCAAATAAAAGGATAATATCATAATCCAGGAGTAGACCAAGGGAGTAATCGTACCCAGGGTCAGGACTCTAAGCCGCCCCTCAGATGATTCCAAAGCTCTATTGATTATTCCCTCAAATGGCGTAGAGCCGGAATTTGAATGTTATAACGCACAACCTTTTGGTTGTATAAACTTTTCGGAAGCCAAATGATGCATTGGACTTCTGGGTCAAGGGGCCATGTCCCCATGCCCATAGCCCGCCTATCGTAATCGTGCTTAATACAACTCAAGCCTTCCAAGCTGTTAACCAAACACTATGGAGTAGGTTAAATGAGACTCCTTAGATACTACCATTTTAAAGTTTTACCATTTTAAAGTTTTAGACTTGCAATTATGCGAAGTTTCAAGGTTGTGTGTTATTTTGGGATTTTAAGGTATTCACACTACTGCAAAAAAGAAAAGAACGAATAAACAAGATGGAAGTCTCTACATTATCAAACACTGAAATTCTTATTCAAAAAAGAATGGTGAATTTGATAGGAGATGTGACTGAATCCAGAAATGCCTACCCACATATCTCCTAGAAGAGAATCAAATCATTAGTGTAGTTCTAATTAAAAGACAATACAAAGTAAGTTTTACATAAGGGATCATTTTTGGCGATAGCACATGGTGAGCCGATCAAGAAATGAGTTCTCCATGGACTTGTCTTCACACAGACTACGACGTTGATAATATTTGTGGTTAAATTCAGTGCGGTGGCCTTCATATTTTCTTGTATCATTGAAGAATCAAACCATGTTTAGTTTGGAGAGTTTTTTTTTTTGTTTTATCGATCAAACAATCTCTGAAGACAGTTCACCTCAGAGTCATCGATGCTCATTTCCACGGACCAGGCTCTCCTTTTCTTTATTGTAGCTTCTGCCTTCCATAGATGCAATTGATGTTGAGAGTAAGCTTCTTTGATGACCGCTTGTTGTCCTCGTCATCAGTTAGCTCATACTTGTCAGATTTACGTTTGTCCCTTTCTTCAAGGAGGCTTTTTCTTTCCTTGCCTTGCTTCTTACAAACTCCCAACAGTGCCATTGGTCGATGATTTCCTCGATGTGGTCTCCGAGTGTTTATCAATTTTGAATGGTATGGCTTATGCACTGGTGGAAGGAGCAATACTCTTTTGGCTTTTCTTTACCAGATGTTCAGGAAGAGGTTCCGACCGTTTGAGAAAGGGTTTGTCCTTAATGTTGTGAAGAATGTTGTTGATGATAATGTGCAGGTCTGTATATTGCCTCAATCTAAGTGGAGCTTATTTATCTTTTCGTCCCCTTATGTCATTTCGACAGGAAGACAGAGACGGATTGCTCCAGTTTTCTCTTTTTCGTTTGAGCTTCCTACCGCGGTCTTGATAAGGAACCTTCCTTTTGGTTTTGTCGTCCCAGTTAATGAGGTCAAAAATTCTGCTAGGGTGGCATAGTCGTACTTTCTCTCGTCCAGCTTCTGGGAGAATGGCAAGTTGACATAGAGTCCCTGCTTGTAAGCCATAGTGGCAAGTATGTTGTCAAGCCTTTCTACCTCAGCCAATTTCATGTGGAACCTCTTCAGGTAAGCCGTAAGAATTTTGTCCTTGCCTTGAGCTGCCATGATGAATATGGCTTTGTGTCGTTTTTGGAAATCATGGTACACCAAATAGGTGTTGGTTAAGATGTTGACCAAATTTTTGAAGCAATCAATCAAACAAGTTGATAACTCTGAGAACCATCTCATGATAGTCCCCTCTAAGATAGAGGAGAACATCTTCTACATCCAAATGTCATTGTTGCTGTATCAAGCCATGACGCTCATATAGTGCATGATGTGGTAATCCGAATCAGTGTCGCTGCAGAAGTACTTAAATCGAGGTTGAGAAAACTTATAAGACAGAGGCGCATATTCGATTGTTGAAGAGAGTGTGCTTTTCACTTTCACTACAGTCCGACCAGGGATACGAAATGTTGTTTCCCTTGGGGCATCTCTAGTCATGTCATCGTTATCGAGCTGACGTCTCTTTGGTTCATCTAAAGACATTGGGTCGTTAAAGCTCAGTGTCGTGGTTCCATCCGGGGCACTTTTGCAACGGCCAAATGACCAAGGTTGTGTAGAACCTGTGTCCCGTTGAAGCGATGTTATTGGCATTTTGATCATTGTGAAGCGGGTTTGTACTCGGATTAGTGATGTCTACTAAAGTTGGAATAAAAGTTGGCTCGATGAGTTATTCAGCTGGGGTTATGGTACTTATGTTGCTATAATCAAAAATAAGAATTTGAGTTTGTGGGATGGTCCTGCTGGATCTTTTGAGAGCCTTCATTCTTTTCTCGACGTCCACAAAGTTTGCATGACATCACCCGAAAAGCAGTATAGCCATGCTGGAACTTATCAACAAAAACGTTGATCTTTGGTAAAGTATCTCATGCATGCCTCATAATGAGAGGGGGTCCAATAGGCAGAGCCTCGCCGCCCTTTGGGGTGGCTAGAGCATGAAGGGTTTGATTGCTTGCCCCTATAGTGTTGGTGGTGTCGACAACAAGATTATTTTCAACATATGGGATTGAGACATCAGGAGCAAGGCTGTCATCGGTCGCCTTGTTAGTGTTGGCGTTAATAGAGCTTTCTTATGTGTTCATGTCTGTGATAGATTAAGTTGGTCAGGAGGAATATGATTTTCACTCTCAATGAAAACACCAATTGCTGGAACCAAATTCGCACACTGCTGTAAGCGGTAAAGATGCACAAATCCAACTAAACTGTAAAAGAACAAAGTACTGCTTGCAATATAAGACTCAAGCAATAAGCAATATAATAAGTATGCGATAATTGCGGGAGCAAAGATGCATCTCTTAGGATAATATAATCATTATCAAACCGGGAGAATCACAGAAGATATTTAGGAAGTAGATATTGCATCCTTTTACGACTATGATTACTTGCGGCGCATGTCAATCCTTAGATTGTAAGGACTCCAAGATTATACGAAACATGTTGATTCCTTGCTGGATTAAGTTTTCATATCTTGCAGAATAAGCATGATAAATCTCAGCAAAGTCATCAGACTTTGTCCATTGATTCCAGAATAGGACGACGGTGGCATCCCTGCTTTGTTTATTCAGCTCTACATCGGAGGATGTCAAGTCCATGGCCGGACTTCTAAGGTATGCATATTTTGATTTGCCTCACTCCCGTCCTGGACAATTATGGCCCAACAAGAGAGAGATTGGCGATAGCAAGGATAAAGAGAAGAGAGAATTTGGTGATTCTGTAATGTGGTGTTTCACCTTGTTGTGCCTTTATTTATAGTGATAAGGGAGAAAAAATCTTACTCCCCAAGGAATACAATTACAATAAAATATATTATAGAATCCTATAAGTAATTTAATTACTAGGATTACTTTTTTATTTTCAGTTTTCACATTTTTAAAAACTGAAAATTGAAACAAGTTTCAAATTTAAAAAAAAAAAGAAAAAAAAAAGGCAATTTGACAAAAAGAAATAAAATAAAAAACCAAAAACTGTTGTGAAATTGAGGATATGTGCAGTGGGATATAGTAAATAAGACACAATATTTACGAGGTTCGGCAAATGTGTCTACATCCTCCAGGTGACAGTAGTATTTTCTTTCATTATTTGAAATAATAGGAGTACAAAATAATTCTCACTATTTTCCCTCTTCTCTCTAGCTTGGCTCACTGGTATTTTCTCATGCATATCTCTTATTTCTTTTCTCTCTTTCTTTACTCTTTTCTTTCCTTTCCTCCGTATGTTTTTCTTATTTGTTAGTGGTCTTGGCCTTCATTATATAGGCAAATGAATAGGTCATGACATCATTGCTTACATAGGCATGATGTCATTACTTGCACATACATGATGTCATCCACTCAAATTAAATAATGGACACCTATATTTATAACAAAAACAAAATTTCTACTATTTAATATAACCCTCTTTGTCAAGGGTAAGAAGATCATTTTAGCCCTATAAACAAAACTAAAGAACAATAATTTTTACTTCTCACACACCCCTTTTTACTTCTTACATACCCCTTTTTACTTCTCATACACCCTTTTAATTTCCAGTCATTAGATCATATGAATTAAAGAATATAAAATGACAGAAATAAATAAAGGGTGTGTGAAAAGTAAAAAATGATGTGTGAATATCATACCCCTAACTAAAATAAAATTATGAACAATATAGTAAATGACACACTAAGCAAAGGTTGGGCACAGGCAAATCTGGGCCCAAATTTTGAAGGACCGGACTGGACCCGTTTTAAAATGAAACGGAGTAAAGCAGGGCGAGTAATGAAATTTATAAATTTGGAATCAGACCTAACCTGACTCGTTTATCGAACCAGAAAGACGTTGTCTTCCTCATGGATCCAAGACCTCCACCTTTGCCATTACAAATTACACCAATTGATGAATTAAAACAAAATCATACATACCCATAAGCAAATTTCCTAAAAGCACTTATTTTGCTTCAAATTACATAAATTTAAGCCTTAAATCGCATACCGAGGCGCAACCAACAACTGGTAAGTTTTGACCCTTCGAACTTCTTCTCCTAGTTGGCGAGGATGCTGATATCCTTCTGTATAAGGTCGTTGAGAGAGGCGATAATGTCCTTGTCCTTCTTGGTCATCTTTACCAGAGCCTTGCTGGAGTCTTGCGGCAAACATAACGTACAAACTGACGAAGGAAACGAAGTCACGACATAAACGATGGTGGCCGGAGTCGAGAGAAGGAAACCTCAAGGCTCGAGTTGGGAATTCAAGAGATAAGAGAGTGAACTGACAATTCGAGAGAGAGGGAGAGAGTAGATGTGTGTTAGAAATGGACGATGGAGATGTAATCTCCATATAATGGACGGTGGAAATGGTCCGGGCCGGGGCCCCTTTTCTTTTCAGAAATTCTCACATGCCCTGCCTCGCCCCGTTTCGAGTTTACAAAATCTAGACACACCACGAACCAGCAAGGCGCGCCTCGCCCCGCAAGTCCTAGACCCATTTGCCTAGCCCTACACTAAACAATTTTGCTGTATTTTTTTCTCATCCTCACAGCCAAGTGATCTCCAATTTACTCCCACCTCCCTCTCTCTTTCACATTTTTCTCCCACTGCTCTTTCTACTCTCCTTAACTTCTAGCTCGTTAAAAACAAATCACTACTCTTATAAATAAAAAAAACAGTTCTCACACATTGAATGTGTGAATATATTTTGATTTTCTCAAATATTGTTTTTTAACATTTTGATGGGAGAAGTTATTTGTTTTTAACAGGGTTGGGAGTTAAGGAGAAAGAGAGAATGAGTTTAGAGTGCAGTGATAGGGTGAGGTTCTAAACAAAAAGCAAAAACTTATTTGCGTGAAATGTTATAATTGTAATTTCATTGGTTTTTTTTGTTAACAAAGAAGTTCAATTAATATGTAATTTAGATTAAACCAAATCTACATTTGCTTTAGGTGTGTGGATAGCTTCATACACACCTTATTAATTTGTAACCGTTGGATCGACTGAATTAAAAACAATCAAATAATCAAAATTAACAAAAAAATATGTGAAAAGTAAAAATAATATGTGGATAGAGCACCTTGCTTTTTCCAAAAATTAGAACGCAGTTGCATCCATTGGCACTTAGCAGGATCTTAAACCCAAGGGAGTCTTAATAAAAACACTAATGTACTGTTCACTTTTAAAGTTAAAGATATTTTTACTCTAAAAAATAACTTCTGATACTATTCATTTGCAACACTCTTTTATTTTTTATTTCAAGGTTTTCAATTCCACTTCATTTTTCCTTAAACCCAAAAGTTAGGTTTTTGAAACAGCAACACCAAAAAGCCTACAAGACTCAATTTCTCCAATTTCTCAATCCAACCAATCCAAATGGAACAAACGCAACAGTTGCTATGGAGATCCGACTCCTCGGACTCGTCGGAATCTCTCTCGACGTCAATGATGTCAGTGACGCTCGGCAGAGCAATGACCGCTCTGCTATCTGCCCGCCCCAGAAAGCTCCACGACGCCGTTTCTCGACTCTCCCATCCGCCCCTCAGCTCAGCCCCTCACGTCTCCGTTTCGGTCTCTCTCGACGACGCCCTCCGCTTCCTGCACAAGTACCTAAACGACGCTGCTCAGAGGAACGAGCCCCTCCATGAAATTCTAGTCCCCATGCTCGAAAATGTACGCAATTTCACTTTTTCTTTGCATTTTTTCATTCGATCACAATGCAATTGTTTCTGGGTTTTTTTTCTTTTCAAATTTCTTTAAATTATTGGTGTTATTTTCTAAATTCAGTCATTGAGCTGCAAGGATACGAAGCGCGGCAGGCAAGCTATGGTACTTTTGAATTGGCTATTTCAGGACGATTTTATCTTCCAAGCTATTGTGAAAGGACTGGCGAAAATTGTTTCGACGAAAGATGATCGCTTTATAGTGCTTGGCTGGTGTACTCTTGTGCGTGCTCTTCTGGACTACGAGACCACAGTGACCCAATTTCCCATGAATGGTAACAAAGCCAAATATGAAGTTGTTGAAGTGAAAATAGTTAGAAAGCCGTTGCTTTAATTATCTTTAATAACGGAAATTTGAGTTTTTACTGCTTCGAATGACAGGTATAAGGGAGCGGTACAGTGATTTGGTAAAGATACTCTCTTCGTGTATTCCGCATCTCTCGCATGTTGTACGCAAGGGCAGGTACGTGATAAAGTTGAAGCCAATTGGATGCAGTGTTTATGTGGTGTTTGCTTTATGCTTATATTTGGAATTACTTGTCATATTCAGATTTATAAGGTTTGGAATAAAATGCACAGTGTGTTCAAAATGATTGCAATGTCTTGTATAACAATATTAGGAATACAATTTTTATACTTTAGGTGACAAATGACAATAAATACAATGCTTATGTATTGATTACATTTGGTCGTATTTTCGACCTCTTGTTTTGGTAGCACTTTGCAGGATGGATTTGAACTGCCATCTCGCCTTGCTGTGTCTGCTGCTGATTGTTTTTTAGCTCTCACAGAAGCATTGACCAAAAAAGCTCAGATTCCAAGTAACAGACCGAAATTGTCGGATTCAAATGCACCAAAGCGACCTGTTACTTTAGTGTCCAGTGATAGCGGCAAAAAGAAATCAAAACCAGCTTCCGAATCTATAGTAGCCTCAAACATGGAAATGGAGAATATCCTATGGGATCATTTAGAGGAACTTATTCGGCTAGTGCAGAAACTCCTCGCTGTAAGTTCCTCTCAACTGCATTTTGGGTTTAACCTGTCCTATGTTTATTTTAAAATGGTTGCCCATGGACTTGTGCAGGAGTGTTTGTAGTAGGTAATTATTGGGATGTTGGACAGGTTAGGTGGGAGCCTTGTGGTTGTGATGCTATTTTCCAAAATAAGTCAAATAATTAGCATCTCCATCTCTATATAACCGTTAGTTGTAAAAGTTAATAACTAGAAGACATTTCTATCAGCAGTTCATATAATCTAATATCGAATCTTATCGTTCAATCTAGAAAGAAAACTCACATATTCATGTCTATTTCTGTATTGTATGTCACTTGCTTCAAACATGAACCTTGTTACTTTGTGACCCTACTCTGCAGTGGAGCAGAAAAAGCCGACCATTACATGCCAAAGGATTGGAGCAAGTTCTTAAGTGGTTGCAGGAGATAAAAGGACATTATCGTCACTTGGAAGTTGAGGCAGGTCCTTTACCCATTCTTTATTAAATATCACACATTATGGTTTCTAATTTCCAAAGGTTGTGCTTTACTTGTTTGTAACATGAAAGACAGGTTCGAAGGTTGTCAAAACTGGAGCATTGCTACTGTATTCTTGTTGGAAGCATTATGGCATGTTAATGCACTTGGAAGATCAGAAGTTTTCTCAGCATTACAAAGAATTGTTGGACCAATACTTAGCAGGCATACAGGTTGATCTTGGACTATATGATCATTTGTAAATTGCTAAATAGTAAATAATAATAAATCTCGTAACTTAACCGTATATCTGTAAATTCTGATTCGGGACAGCATGCAGGTTGATCTTGGACTATGTGATCATTTTTAAATTGCTAAATAGTAAATAATAATAAATCTTGTAACTTAACTTTATATCTTTAAATTCTGATTCTGGACCATGATTTCTTCCACTTTTGGGTGTTGAACAATTTTTTTTATGCAACTTTTTATTTGCTTGTACTTGATGGAATCATTTAGTTTTTTATACAAAAAATATATGCAGTTTTATACAGATAATTATTCAGGAGGGCCCAGTGAGAATAAGGATGGTGGTGCAGAGACCAGAAAGTTTTTCCTGAATTGTCTATGCCTTCTATTGGGGCGTCTTGACAGCAAGAAATTTGAGAGCATAGTGTCAGAATATGGGATGAGGATATCACAGGTTCTTCTACCACAGGTACTAATGCTTGCATCCAATCTTGATATTAATGGTCTTATGGTTGCATCCAGTCTTGGCATTATTGGTACAGTTAGGTGACTTAATCATCACTTATTTTTTAAATCAATTTGTGTCTAGCCACAGTATTAGAGTTCTTTTTGGAAGGCCATTGTTCTTCTGTCATCTTACTGACATCAACATTTATTCTTCTTTGAAGCTTCATTCTGCTGATGATGATGTGATAGATGGGGTTGTTTGTATATTCAAAGCAGTGATTTTTAAGCCAAAACTATCTGGAAGTAGTCTCACTGACTCTGGTGAGGTGGATGCTATGCTACCATTGCTGATTCATCTTTTAGATGAACGGGACGGCACAGCTAGAGCTGTTGTTATGCTGATAGCTGAATACTGTTTGATGTATTTTTCTTCTTCAATTAAGTTTCTTTTGTTTCTTGGAAATGTAAATCAAATTTATGATCTGTATTTTTTTTAGTTTTGTTTTGTACCTGTTGTTAACTTGGCATTAATGGCCCAACAGGAGCAGAGACAACCGTTGCATTAAAGAAGTTCTAGAACGCCTTGCTTGTGGAAATGTTCAACAGAGGGGGAATGCCCTTGATGTTGTATCAGAACTCATTCGCATGTCGTCAGATTCAAATGACATACTTCCCCAGTTATCATGGTATACAAAATGCTCCAGTAGCATTTATTGTTTTGTAATATTATGGTGTCTTCACCATTCCACCTTTCTGTATCTTTTCCCTGTGATATTTGCAGGCAAGATATTGCAAACCACTTGATTGAGCGACTTGAAGATGAAGAAATTGCCATTCGAAAACAAGCATCTACTTTGCTTACAATGATCGGTTCGTTTGACAGTTTGAATTGTTTTATGCCAAATCTTGTTTGAAATTCTCCAGATTATCTTTATGTAAATTTTGGTGTTTCAGAATTTAATAATTAGTAACAATTTTAATCGTTAGGATCATAAGACCAGAAACATTTTACATACAAGCCGGTTATGCTTCAGTCTTTGAGTAAAAACAATAAGATCTTGCAAAGGATTGTATATGGTCATCTTCTTTGGGCAAATATTATTTTCAGTTAAGAATCTTAAGATTGAAATTTGATTTAGTACTTTTCATTGATGAAATATACCTGCCTGTTGTTGCAGACCCTTCATTAGTTTTGCCTGCTTTAGTTCATCTAGTTTATTCATCGGATGAAAGATTGCAATCAACTGCAAGTGATGCCTGTGTTGGTGTACTAAAATATCATAGCCAGAATGCTGAGGTTATATGTTTACTGCTCGACTGTCTTAGGTATTTTCCTTTCCCATTCATTGTTGTTTCCCTCATGTTCTCAAAGTTTAAGATGTTTATCTTTTTATGAAAATGTCTGTTAGAAACTTTTTTGCTCTTTGGGTTTGGGTTAGAGAATGTCTATTGAGTTTTTTATATACAGAGAAACGTGTATTGAGTTAAAGCTTCTACTTCTGAACACTTTTATTAATTATTCTTGCTTGCAGCAACCTCAGCCAAAACGTAAATCTTCAGAACACTGCAGGGGATGTAGGTGAGGATCTGTTTCAATGTGACCACTTGGCAGATATTCTATTCTATGCCGAAGTTGTTTTTGTATTTTTCCCTTGAAATGCATTACCAAAATTTTTTCATTTGTCTTTTACCCACCGTTCTTTAATTATGTATGTGTTGATAACTTGATATCAAACAGTAATGCTCAAATGCATTACAACATGACAAGTAACGATATCATTCTTCTATTATGTAGTTGTAGTCTACCCACATTGACGCTAATACAATTATATTTGTTGACATAGAAACATGAAACGTATTACACTTGATTAATGTAACTGTTATATGCTAACATTTCCAATTTGGGCTCTTCATTTTGCAAGTTTCAGGATCAAAACTGGAGAGTGAACGAGTGCTTAGGCTGATCCCAGAGTGGTCTAAAAGTGTAAGATGAATTTTCCATAGTAAACTTTTGTCTTTTCAAGGTTTTCAAAATTAAACTCTGGCTTGCTTCTTGATGTTTTTTTTGACTTGATGATTTTTTTGTTTACAATTGCATTACCACAGGTTCAAAGCTGGGACCTCTTGATTGGTCCATTGATTGAGAAGATGTTTGCAGAGCCATCAAATGCAACAATGGTGAAGTTTTTGAGTTTTATAAGTGAGCACTTGGCAGAAGCTGCTGATGCCGTTCTCTCTTGTGTTCTATTGCATGCTAAACAACGGAAAGAGTGAGTACATTATGTTATACAACTTATATCAAATCTATAGCAGTCCCATATCCTTGTTAATAGTTGAGCCTCAGTAGTTTATACTAGTACCTAATGATGATATGTATGAGCTTGTTTCATTCAACCAACTGTCATCGTGAGCTAGGTAGTGGGAATAATCCTAATCTAGATTTATGTTACTGGCTGGCAACAATCCCCCTTTTATGGTTCTATGAGATAAATGGCCAGTAGTTGCAGGAAAATTACATAATGTTGCGTGTTGCGAGTTTATTAGTTGCCATTCCATACTTTTCTATGACATTTGGGCATTTGGAGGGTAATTTTGGGTTTCCACTGTTTTTTTTCTTCAAAGAACATATTCCCTGAAAAACACTGGTAAAGTTGTAAAGTTGTAAAGTTGTAAAGTTGTCTCTGACATTTACCAGGGTGTTCTTAATGTCTCTTCCTGGGCCAGCATGTCCATCATTTCCGTGTCATATCTATCATTTTACGATTAAGCATAGTCCAGAAAAGTACAGGATGGCAAAATGAACATGTTCTTCATTCAAAAATTAAAAACATGTTCTTTTTTTACCTTAAAGAAAAGAAGTTGTCTGATTGTATGAATTGGAGGTTTCCTGGATTATCCTCGTCTCTCTCTTTATTTTCAGCATATCCAAGATTTTTATTTGACTTTCTATGCTGTGGTTAAACTTTTTTTATTTTCTGCCCGTTTCCTCTTTCAGGTTTGATGGAAACAGCTTTTCTGGACGGGAGTGCCAGACCTACAAAAGTGATGACTCTGAAAACATGCAGCAGACCCTTTTTGAACACCTTTGCCCGCTACTCATAATTAGGATGCTTCCACTGAGGGTATTTAATGACCTTAATTCACCTATCATTTATGGACAACTTTTCAATCAAGGCAATTTTCACGGTACTCTCTCTCTCTCTCTCTCTCTCATGACTGGAAGTGAAACTCAATTTTGTATTGGCCCACTCTTCTCATGATAATAAGGAGAGGATGTGTTAGTCAGTATTCACTAGGGATCTGTTTACCCATGACTACATTTCAATATTCAGTTATGTCAAAAAAATAATCACTATTTCTCCAATAACTGCATGATTTTTGTCAGACATCTTTAAAAATTCTCTAGAGGAACTGCAATTCTAGTTTTAACCTATTTCTGGTTTCTGTTTGATTTCAGACTGTGGAGATATCAATACTATCAATCAGGATTGTGTGACTGCTCTTCTTCTGAAAAGGTAAATCCGTCAACATGACCATCATAAATATTCAGTTGTACAAATGGAATCTGATGGCTTTTTTCTGGTTATTTTATTTTTATTTCAGGACATTTTGTGAGTTTGAATTCAATGATGTACGGAAACTTGCGGCTGAGCTCTGTGGGCGTATTCATCCCGAAGTATACAATAGTGACTTTTACCATATCTTTATTATAACTGCATCTTTCCTTCTTGGAGACTGATTTGTCCTTCATGGAATTTTATTTTTTTAATGCTTGGAACTTGGTTATGTGATGATGTGCATATTTGACTTCCATACTGACGATAAAAGAAGCTTATTGTCGTTTCTTGTAATTAGTCAAAGTTTGGGAACTTATGTCACTTTAACTAGTAAGTAACTTTGGTTATGCACATAGTTGGATGTGCCCAGTTTTAGATCCATTTGAGTATCCAATATACATGTTCTTTTATGAAAAAAAAGGTTCTATGATTTTGGATCCTCTGAATTTTCATCATTGATGTGTAATTTGGGTTATATCCATTTTCATTGCTGAAGAATTATTCCAAAGTGCTTGCTCATCAGCTTGCATTTTATTTTCCATAAAGATTTCACCAATACCTCCGCATCTTTTTTGTGGTAGCAGTTACAAATGAAAATCTACCCCCATTCATCGTGGAATTTGCGAAGTTGATTTCTGTGTGCCTTATGAAACTGTGTATGAACATGAACCAGTTGCGTGTCATAATGGGTTATTGCTTTCTAATTTTTTGTTGATTGTGCTTCTATATATATGCTGTACTAGGCAAAATACCAATCAGTTTAATCTGTACCTACCATTTGAAACTGTAGGTGCTAATTCCAATTGTCAGCTCCCAGCTAGAAATTGCTGCAAGTTCTCGGGATATACTAAAGATTAAGGCATGCTTATTTTCAGTTTGCACTTCACTTGTGGTAATTATCCTTCAAGACCAGCATCTCGGTTGCCATTATCTCATGCCTTTTAAGAGTTTGAGCTTTATTCTTTTGCCACAATCCTAGGCATCAACTGTTTTTATTCACATCGAGATTGAGCTAATTAAGGTTCTTATCGTTGACAGGTCAGAGGCAGGGATTCACTTTCTCATCCTGTTATGCTCAAAATCAGACAGACATTGGAGACAATGCTATTATGGTCTTCTGGTGATGGGGATGAAGGTGTGTAACAAGTAAAGATTTCAAACACTAAGAAATTTTGTTTCTATTTGTTAAAATTGATTGGGGTAAGGTTCCTTTTCCGGCAGTTTCCAAAGCACAGCATGGTTGCATTGATTGCCTCGCACTTATGATATGTGCTGAACTGCAAGATCCAGATTCATTTAGCATTGTTGGGAAGAAAGGTAACTTTGCTATTGCGTAATTTTGGTTGCTATGTTATCCTCAGTCTGAGCTTAAATTTTTCTGAGTTGGGCACATGTGACTTTTATGATCCAAAATACAGGAGATGCTGCATCAAGAGACTCTGCCCTCACCTATGTAATCAATAAACTTATACAAGATAGCAACCAACCTGCCTTATCATCTGACCATGATGATGTGAAATGCACAAGTGAGGGGCCAGCTCCACTCTCGTTCTATATGTGCATGGCAAATGTTCTCATTAGTGCTTGCCAAAAGATACTGGACTCTGGAAGAAAACCTTTTGCTCGAAAAACTATTCCATGTCTCATCCATTCTGTTAAGGTATTTTGATTATTCACTGCTTTCAGATTTGTGAGTATGTGGCTCTTAATATCGTGCTCTGCCTGACTTCATTCTTGCATGTGGTGTCAAATACTTCAGGTGATGACGAACCCGGAGATCCGAGCTGCATGCGTTGAGGTTCTCTTTTCATCGGTGTACCATTTGAAATCTGCAATTCTTCCTTACTCAACTGATCTTCTTGAAGTCTCATTAAAAGCACTTAGAAAAGGGTCGGAGAAGGTATTGGACACAGTTTTAATTTTTTAGTTACTGTCTTTGTCTGAGTATTAATGATCTTCGAATACCGATCGGAAACCTATGTTGTTCTTCAGGAAAAGATGGCAGGTGCAAAGCTAATGGGGTCTCTAATGGCCAGTGATGATGCAATCGTAGAGAGTATATCAGCAAGATTAATAGAAGCAAGATCGATACTGTCGAGTATAGCTTTGACAGATGCTTTGGCCGAGCTACGGCAAGTCTGCGGAAAGTTGCTAGCTTGCCTAACTCCATGAAGATTGTGTCTGCTTCATCTTCCAGTTTGGGTTGCCGTACCCTGTATATGGCTGTACAGTTGGCTTTGTTGTTTTTGAATTCAAGGTATCGCAAATGGTACTTATAGGATTGGAAAATATGTTGCAATTTGAAATATTGTATTTCATCGAAACGGATCCAAACGAAAACAAAGACAAAACCCAGTACTCTTCAAACTTCAAATTATTGGTAAGAACTTCCTACCCGATGCCATTACAAGCAGCAACGGTACTGAAACAAAATTCTCCCAATGGCTAAACACAACGTAGACTTCACGTCGCCTCGGGTGGATAATGTGTTAATCAAGCTCACAACCTTGAAATATTAGTTCTAATCTGAAAAGTAAAAGTGAAACTATCCCAACATACAAGGTAAATTCCTCCGGCACTTGCAGCTTCGTATTACTTGTGACGGTCTGAAAATCATCTGGAATCTCAAGGAAATATTATGGACATCATTTGTAAATGAGTGCATCGCGTCCAGGCCCGACACCAATGTAATGGACGGGTACACCAACAAGTTCTTCTATCCTTTCCACGTACTGACGTGCAGCCTTTGGAAGGTCAGAGTAGTTTCTGACTGAAGAAATATCTGACTTCCATCCGGGCAATACTTCGTAGTCCACCTGAACATAGAAAAGCAATAAAGTTCAACAGGAGTTAACCATGAACATTAGGTATCAAAAACAAAATCAGTATCAACTATCCAACTGAAAATTCAGTAAAAACATAACATCCAAATAGAGGTGAGTGGCAGCGGCATGCCTTTATTTGCTCCAGATCAAGAAGGTCTGCAGGGAATGATTTGACTGGTGTACCATCAATCTGTTTGTAGGCAACACCCAACTGAATTTCAGGAAGATCAGACAAGACATCAAGTTTGGTGAGATTGAGAGAAGAAAAGCCATTAATCTGACAGCAATACTTCAGAGCTGCTATATCAAGCCAACCACAACGACGAGGGCGGCCAGTTGTTGTGCCAAACTCCTGACCAGCAAACCTAAGAAGATCACCCCCTTGACCCAAGATTTCTGTGGGAAAGGGACCAGAACCAACTCTTGTAGTGTACGCTTTCACCTGCACAGGCAAAATTCAAGTTAGCAACTCTACCTCACCATCTCGATTGGCCATTGTACTATTTCATTGGTGAAGCAATTATATAGGCAAGAAAAAAATTAAAAAAAAAAAAAAAAAAAAAAAAAAAAAACTAGAAACAATAATGTAAAAAACCTGTAAACCGTCACCCGAAAAAAATAAAACTATATACAAAAATAGAATTAGTTTGAGAGAAACCCACACTGATGGGTACAAGCCACTCCCACACTATCAAATGAAAATCAATTCTGCAACTAAAGATTAACATCTACTTACCACTCCAACCAGATCACCTAAAACTCTGGGAGCAATTCCGAGACCAGTGCAAATCCCACCGGCTGATGGGCTAGAGGATGTTACAAAGGGGTAAGTTCCAAAGTCAATATCCAACATTGTTGCCTGACCACCTTCGACCAAAATCTTTTTCTTCTCAGAGATGGCTTCATTCATGACAAGCACAGTATCTGCAATGAAGGGTTCCAATCTCTCAGCAAATCTCTTGTATTTTTCGACTTCTTCTTTGAGCACATGGGGGCCATACTCAAAACCTTGGAATCTTGATGCAGCATCTGATAATAGAAGATCTAGCTTCTGAGGAAAAGTATCCATGTACCTCAAGTCACTCACTCGAATACCATTTCGGATAACCTTGTTAGAGTAACATGGTCCAATGCCCCTCTTGGTAGTGCCAATGAATGATTTAGCAAGCTCAGATTCTCGAAGTCCATCCACTACTTGGTGGAAATCAAATAACAGGTGAGCACGATCAGAGACCAATATCCTTCCCTTGCAGGAGACTCCATTAGATTCAAGGCCATCAATCTCTTTAAAGAGCCCTGGAAGATGCACCACAACTCCGTTCCCAATAACACAAAGTGTTTCTTCATTAAGAATACCCGACGGAACAAGGTGAAGGGCAAACTTCTTTCCCTCTGCATTGTAAATGGTGTGTCCAGCATTAGCTCCACCCTGTAAAGATAATAAAACCCATGAGAAAACTGCAAAATTTGGCTATGGCAGTGCGAGTTTTCTGTTACCTGACAACGAGCAACGATGTCAAAGTGCTGGGCCAAGATGTCAACAAGTTTTCCTTTACCTTCATCACCCCATTGGCAGCCCAACACCCCCGAAACCTGGGTTAGTGATTCAATTCGATTAAGCCCCTGGTTAGGGGAACTATCAACACTTAGAGGTGAAGGGGTGGCAATTGATTGTTTCACTGAGCATACGACAGCATTCCTCGGGCGCTGGAGGAGAATAGGTATGTGGTTGTGGGGCCCAAAGGAGTGAGGGCTGGAGAGTGGACTGGAGTCCAGGGCTCTGAAAGCGGAGAGGTTGTTCATGGTGAACCCCTGAGTGAGAAAGACAATGTTTAATCAAAGAGACTTAAAACTTTGAGAAATGAGATAACAAATAACCACATCAGTAACAATCGTATTATTATCATGGATCGATCTAATACCCTTTTATTATGTTTTTAGACACAAATCACGAGACTATATATTTCTAAGTTTCATTTCACCTGAATTTATAACCTGCCCCATCTCTACAGTTTGAAGGATGTTTTCTTTAATCTCAGTTCTTGTCAATCGGTGACGAATAATAACACATACAGATATTATCAGACATTAAAGTTGAAGTCTTCGAAGCAGATGCTACACAAACAAAAAGACACTAAGCTTAAAGGCCTAAATATCCAGCTTCGGATAATTGACAAGTATCTGCGAACCTTTCCATTATATGCTACAAACTATGACCTTCTAGCTTAGGACCACTGAAATGTGATCAGATTTATTCAGAGTACAACAATGCCGGCAAACCCATCCGAAAGTCTTTAAGCCGCACGATATTGCCCAATTAATCATGGTGTATTATTCAATCAGATAGTAGTACAAAATTTTGATTTATTTTGTAACGAAATCGAATTTATGAATTAAACAACCAAATTATCAAAAAACGAATATAAAACGCAACTATTAACTGTACGTGTAATGAATCGCTGAAACTAAATAGTTCAACCCTAAACAGCACCACTGCAAACAGCATAAGAAAATCGACATTAACTCGAAAGAAATTGGGAGAGAAGAATCTGAAAAGGGAATACCTTTTGGAGCTTTGAGCTACTGGAAGAAAACCCAACAGAGCAAAAGCCTCAAACTCCAAGACTGCTATGGGATTTGGAAGTGAAGAGCTGAAGAGGGAAGAAGAAGAAACGCAGCAGCAAAAGAGAAGGTGAGGCGGCGAACCAGAGGAAGAGGAAAGAAGGGGGAAAAGAGAGAGGCGGGCTGCTTGTTTGAGAACAACTTTTCATACCCTGGGACACCAGGTCAGCATCAATCACAACCACTGAAGTTTGGCACGTGGTAATTATATTTTCAAGTGTTTTTATCACCAATGATTCTTGAGGTTGGCTAAACTCATTATCTTGGTTCCTCACTTTTAAAATCAATCAATATCATTCCTGATATTCACCACCACACATCAATTTGGTCCTTCCGTTTAGATTCCGTCAACTATTTATGTTAGTTTGCATGTAGAACCCACAAATCCAATAAAATTGTGACATATGGATTACACAAAAGAAGGGTTTTTATCACAAATGGTCCATAACATTGATCAAACTCCTCATTTTAGTCCCTGAGTTTCAAAAATCAATAAATTTAGTCCTTGACTTTCACGACCGCACATCAATTTAGTCATTCCGTTAAAATTTCGTCAATACTTTTTGTTAGTGTAATAATATGGTCCCACTTGTCCAATCATATGGTGCCACATAGATTAACTATAATTTTTTTTTTAAGATTTAAAGCTAAAAGTATCATAAGAAATTAAAAAGAAAAAAAATACATCATCGTCTTCATCTAGGTATGCTCAAAAAGAAATCGAAGGCACCATGCCACCACTAAAGCTAAATTTTGAATTGGGAGGACATTTCTGTAATTTCACGAAAAAAGGGGGATATTTGTTAAAATATTATTTTTGATGTTAAATGGTGTGCCCAAGGGGCCACCCCTGTTTTTGTGTCCCCTAGTCCCCAACTCCCCGCCTGCCACGTGGTTCACTCTAAAAAAAATTAGTTTCTTATAGGTCATCCACTTGGTGCCATATGATTGGATTAGTAGGACCACAATAGCACACTAACAAAAAATATTGACGAAAATTTAATGGAATGACTTTATTGATGTGCGATAGTGAAAGTTAGAGACCAAATTTATTGATTTTTGAAATTCAGGGACCAGAATGAGGAGTTTGATCAATGTCAGGGACCATTTGCGATAAAAATCCTTCTTTTGTATAGTCCATGTGTCACCATTTTATTGGATTTTTGGGTCCCACATGCAAACCAATAGAATAATTGACGAAATCTAAATGGAAGGGCCAAATTGATGTGTGGTAGTGAATGTCAGGGACAACATTGATTGATTTTGAAAGTGAGGGACCAAAATGATGAGTTTGGTCAATCTCAGGGACCATTGGTGATAAAAACCCTATTTTCAAATAAAACTTTTGGTGCGTGCAACTCTGTTTCCGGCCCGAAATCGCAATGGTTTGTCTCATTCAATAATGCTCTTCTAGGGTAATCTCCAATCAAAGGAGGATCCAATGGTCATGTTTAGTTCTATAGTCCTGTAAAAAATATATTGTAATAAACAGTATCAGGCTATATTTTATATCATCTCCAATCAAGGGGACTAAAAGGTCATAGGCCAAACATAGCCTTTAGACAAAAAACTCATCTCCAACCAAAGGGGCCAAAGGGCTATAGGCCAAACATAACCCCCTCAATAATTTATTATTTTAATTGAATTAATATGGTTAATTAAATTAAACTACCATATTAAAATAGTAACTCTCCATATTACTTCTCTTTCTCCTTCATTTTTCTTGTTTTGATCTTCCATTGCAGTTCGTTTTGAGTTAGAAAATGGTCCATTGAAACACCCTTTGGCATAAAGAAAGAACAATAACGAAGAAGGCGTGGTATTCTTGCACCTACCAAAAATCCATGCTTGACATTCTAACGCCAGTTAGCTGTTAG